ATGATGAAAAAGATAAATGAACAAACCTTTGTGTTCTTCGAAATTGTACTATTTTGAGCTTTTATAGGCCGTTTTTTGATGGTAAAGTAGCTTTATCTATTTGTAGAAGTTTTGATCAAATTTCCACGTGAAAATACACTTAGGGTTTCATTATCAATTAATGATGAACATTCCCAAAATATTTCGATCCGGTCATGGCTTTCTGATTCGCACTGTAAAAGATTTGACTCGTGTCCTGACAACTAAGGAGGACATGTAATCGATCGTTTTGAGAAATTCGTTTATTTACTGGCGATATAGAAGTCAATTGGAAAACTCTCAAAGTTCGTCAGTACGATCCCGCTGGCCTTATTGATGACAACAATCAAACAAAATGAAAATAAGATAAAATAATATAAATATAGCAAACTTATAACTGCACAACTGATTTAGCCGAGTAGCAAAGGAATAAAGCCGTCTAATGGGAAGTCTTTCGACTAAGAAGCTTTTTGTATAAGAAAGCTTTTGAAAAAAATAGTATGGGGCTTGTTGCCACCACATACGCTAGTAGGTGTTCATGGACGATACTCAACCAATCGAACATAATAGTAAGATCACGTGACCAGAACATTATTATATCATTATATTATTATTTCGATGCCTGTCAGGTATGGTGATAACAGACCATGTAATATCTACCCATTATGTCTCATCCCCACTGGATTGTAGTTTCCAGTGCACCTCCACACACACCTGTCTATCCTATAACTACAAACACAGAGGGATTGGTGCCGAGGATATCTGTCAGCTAAATAACGCCACAAGGAAAACCGCCCAGGCCTCTTATAAAGTAGACGTCGACTTTGTACACTACTTCGACCAATCTGAGGTAATTCAGTGTCGCATAAAGATACATTTTCTGCACTGTTTTATTTGTGACTGCTGCAGTCCTTCATCATTATTGCTAATTGTTTTTCTTTTCCATTTTTCGTTCTTCTGTGTTTTCCTTTATCACCTATTTCTTTTTCATATTTTTCATCTTTGTTTACTCAGTGCTCCTGACCAAGTATTTCACCTTCCATTCCAGTTTCCTTTGCTCAGTTCTCAAGTATGTTAAGGCATGGTTTTTAAGACCGTCAGACGCCATTACAGAAAATCACATTTATTTTTATTACTTATTCTAATTCCTCTCTAAAGCTTTAATATTTTCACAAAAGAGATAATGTAGGTCAATTGTGAATTTTGTGTAAAAGAAAATGACGTCACCAAGTCACGTGACTTCTGACTCGGAAATTCGCGTTTCTTTAAATGAGGTGGTGAGAACAATTTAAAATGGAATATTTTTTTACGTTGTAGAATTAAGGAAAGGCATACAAAAAAGATAGCGCTCRCTAAATTTGTCCTTAAGTTATAGCTTAAGAGAAAA